GGTTGGCTGATGACGGCTATTGCCAATCGCCACATTCTGTTGAATATAAAGAGCTTGCCTCGGCGCTAAATGATCAGAGACCACAGCTGTTAGGAGCCAGCTAGCAGGCAGCTAGCTCAAAACAGCGAGCTGCGCTCACGGCAGGCTATCGATCGGCCTACAGGCGGCGAACGCATACTGGCAGTCCATCAATCAATAATTTAAAATTCAAGCTACAGTCAGCCGTCGAGTCACAAGCAAATCGTGTCGCTACCCATGCCAGGACAGAAGCTGATTGGCTCGATGGACATAGTTTTACACGCGTTTGCTACCCTAAATATGCTGTACCCATTACGCTCAAAGACTTTTGTTTTCGTCCCCTTCTTGTCGTGTTCTTCCTTGGGGGCTCACACAAGACGTAATTAGGCGGTGGCATCTCGGCTTTGGCTACCGTTACAACAATAGCCATCATAGGGACAACTAGGAAGTTGACAAAAATCGAAGTAATACTTATCGGTTATGTTTCTGCAGTACATGCACACGCATGGAATTGAAGTAGGCAGGAAAATGGAGCAGGTGAAGCAGTAATAATTAGAGACACTCTCGCTTGTCAAACATACGAGTTAAGGAACGCAAAAAACACATCATTTAAAATGTAAAACATCGACCAAAACAATAGCTCGTAAGCTTACTTGAGGCCAATGCGCCAAAGATCCTCCTTGGTAATTGATTCGAGGAAATCTGATTGGTCGAACTCATGTACACTCACCTAAAGGCAACAGAAATGGCATGTTAACCCCCGAAAAGAGGGTCCAGATAGCAACGAAGAGTTGCAGGCATATAACACGCAGTGGAAGAATGGGCAGTAGAAGAATGAGTCAATTCAAAGAGGTTCTAGGAGGGGTCGCAGTTGTCGGACAGTATACTGTAGCGACATCTTTTTCTAAGCCATGCTTTGCTTGGACTCTTCTGGGGCATGTCCCGCATGCCTGGCTCTCGTGTCCACCTCCGATCAAGGTCATGGACGCGTCTGGCTTAACTGGCCAACCAGTTCCCAGGGCCAGTTCACAAAGGACCTTAGTCTAATGACTGCTTACGCTCAGACA